CCTTGCGCAGTCGCAGTTCAGTATGGCTAGCGTGTATAGCGTAGCACACCCTGCGCTTCCGCAAGGCTACGCTGCTAGCGCTGTCTACGCTAGCCCTACTGAACTGCCCCTGCGCAAGGCAACGCTACTACCGCTGGTCATCAACGCGCTCAGCGGGCCACGGTAAAATTATCAAAGGCTGACTGGTCCGCGGCGATAAAAAGGTTGGGGACCACTGCCTTAGAGAAATAATTGGAAGTGTACATTTGAGCACAGGTGCAGATATAATCTGGAAAATCAACAATTTCAATGTACCTAAAATAGATTTTATTTTACTTCATATTCAATGTTATAACAATGTACATGTAGGTCAACCTTTTGAAATATTGAATCTTGTACATATAATGAGCACGGCAAACAAGTACCCTATTACTTCCTAGCTAGACATGCCAATTATCTCTTAACCTGCTTTTACTGCCTTTCTGAATGCTAACTTGTCTCCAGAATTTTTCAAGAAACATAGCTTGGAGGTTTTACATCTATTAGCTCATTAACCAATGCCTCCTAGATAGGAACTTGCCAGTAAATAATAGGGAAAAAAGTTATCCTTGCAACCAATTACTCTTATGAATTACACTCATAGGCACTAAACATGCGCTACAGCCATAAGGACTCTCAATAGAATAAATAAGCTTTTAGCTGTTCAACGGACAACCCTTCAATCATTTCATCATCTAACTAACAAGAAATTAAAAGTATTGAACAATGAAAGAATTCAAGCCACAAATAATCATAAGAAGGAAGTGTCAACACATCTTGGTCAGTCTCAAATTTACTAAGTGGAAAAACCCAGAATGGCCAGCTTTAAGCCCTGGATAAAATTCAATGCTTTTTGATGGAAACAAACAACGAAACATTACTAGGACTGGAAAATTACTAATCAATCTAGGAGTGGAAGAAACTCATAAACTGACATGAAGCGATTTTCCTCCATCTGCACAAGGAAACAAGCCAGGAAGCCATGGTTTTACCCAAGAAGCTTTAATTATGATCACAGTTTGTGTGTTCTCCCACATGCACCAACAAAAGAATGAAACAGAATTTCAACAGATATAGATAAAGATATGCAAAGGGAATATCCTGGTTGATTATATCAGCATTCAATAATCCAAATATAGTAAATGCATTTTGTTATAACTAGCTATACTAGTACTACCATAGAGATTAGTTCTTTAGGAAAAAAAGTGCAAGTAATGAGAACATTTAACATTCTAAGTTCTACAAATAAGTAAGATTCTTTACAAGGCGATCCCTTTGTACTCACCTCTTTATATTCATTTATCAGTTTTGTCAGTCCATTCAAAAGCATCGGACCTAAAGGTTTTATCTTGCTGTCAGGGCAACTAAAATTCAAAAGATGAAAATAGTAATGAGTGAACAAGCAAAAAGCTTTAATAATAAGAATTGTCCTTCATATGTAAGAAAATTCTTTTCAAAGGATGTCTGTGTATCAGGAGTGGGAAATTAATGTGGCCAAAAGGCCACATGAGAAACTTGGACTGCTGTGAAAGGCTGCCACCGCTACCCCACCCCACCCCTGCCCCACTCCCCGCTGACACCACTCCGCCGCTGATGCCACCTCGACGTTGCAGGCCAGACAGGACAGCCTAAGGGCCAGATGTGATCTGAAGCCATAAAAATGCCCAGGTCAACTCTGTGTAGCAATGTTCTTGTTTTGGCAGATAATGAGAACTTTTTTCAGAAAACTCAACATCTTCCAGTCTCTATCTAGGTACCTTAACAACTACACCAAGTAGGACCAGAATAAACTGCAGGTTATAAGAATATTATTAAAATAATAACAATGCATTTTCTTGAGTTACATCTCTAAACTTTATGTTGTATTCACATGAAATTACTTAACCTCTATTTCAATTGCACATATGATTTTATAAGAGAGCTAGTTTGGTGCAGTGGTTAAGACGTCTGGCTAGAAATTGGGAGACAGTGAGTTCTAATCCCACCAAAGGCACTAAGCTAGCTGGGCCAGTTACTTTCTTCCCAGCCACAGTAAGGAGACAATAGCAAACCACATCTTTAAAAAACTTGTCAAGAAAAAAAAGTCATGACATAAAAATACTTACATTACACAAATATGATGCACAAATTGAAGAGAGAGAGTTCTCAGTTTAGCATTGGCATTTGCACCAAAAAGCCCATCATAAACAACCTTAAAAAATAAAACAAATGAAAAAATTTCAGGAGAAATATTATTTCAAACTATTTTTCAAATCTCATAATGAGGATAATATCAAAAAATCTTCTGCATCTCAAGTAAGTATGATTAAATTAAATTGATTTATTTAATTTAAAAAATATTTTTTT